ACTCTCCTCTCTCCAGAGGTGATTAGACTATCTCAATCTCCCAAGAACATCAGAGGGCTCCTAATTAGCATAATTCATGTTAAAATAGGTTTGCCGTGGTAAAATTAATGGCTTGCCAAGTTGCATTAGTGATGCTACATATGGAACTTACCCGGTGAAAATGTGGGGATGTACAGTCTAGTCTCCTCCTCTGCTTTCACAAACGGAATCATGTAGAAAATCCCATATCTTGCACCTCCAAGCAAGCTGTTTGGAAGCTGCTTTCTAGACTTTGCTGTGGGCTTGGTCACTGACGGAATGCTCAGTCCCCTGGGGACATGATGGCTGCTCTAAGGTTAATTGAACACAGCCTCTAGAATTTGGTTGTATGGACCTCAAGGAAACAGTATAGGTACCGATTGTTAGAATATCTGAAGGCCTAGAGCTAGAATTTCATCAAACTTGTAGAATGGATTGGATGTGCTGGATTGTACTTGGTTCCTATTAAATTTTCAATATTTGCTTCTATTTGAAGTCAAATTTGCTTGGGGATTTAATTTTAATATAAACCAACAAAGAGGTTATAAGGAGAATTGACACTCATTGCCTATCTCTAATTGCTGGTGATTACTGTTATTCACAAAAAGTTCATTACTGCTCTTCACTCAGTACTTAATCTCTCTTTAGCCTCATCCCATATAAATAAATATATTTGTATATATATTATGAACTCTCCCAGGAAAATTTTAATTGGAGAGGAACAGGCTAAGGAAAAGGGAACAGAACTTGTTTTGAAAAACTCAGGCTTCCCTATGACAGGGAAAGGAGCAGGCATTTTATTAAGTTCTTGGAGGGATCTGTAAAAATCTCTTCTTCTGGGTTTAATGTGACTTTCCCATGTAAAATATAGATTAATGTCTGGTTTGTCTTTGGGGATATTCTGACATCTTGTACCTGTGGAGTTCTTCCTTGTAATGATAAGGGAATAAGAGATATACACATTCCTTTCATAATCGAGGGAAGAAGAGAAACTAAGTAGGTAATATCCTTTATTAAGGACAGGAGAACCATGTTGCTTGTCCCCAAGATTATCCTGACCACTACTTTATGCCCATTTTGAGGATCTCTTTCTTTTTAATCTTAGGGGGAGTGCTGAAGGGAGAAGGTTCAACCTTCAGAACTGGTTCACAGCTGTGTTGGGACTGTTGTACCAACCTATTGGAAGAATGGTAATCCTTAAACATCTGATCCATTGGGGAAAAGCCTGGTGCCATGGGCTCTCCATCTTCCATTCCTCCTTTCCCTCTTTTTTGTCTCCTCCTCCTCCTTCTTGTATCCCTAGGCACCATGTGCATGCATGCATGCTACCCACAGAAGCCAGAAGAGGGCAGCAGATCTCCTAGAACTGGAGTTATAGATGGTTGTTAGATGCTATGTGGGTGCTGGGAATTGAATTCAGGTCTTCTGTAAGAGCAGACAGTGCTCTTAACAAATGAGCTGTCTTTCAGCCTTATTCTATTCCAGATATCCTTGATGGGCTCCCATGATTAACTGTTAGATAGTGATAGACAAGGATCTCCAGACAATAGGTTCTGAGTGAGTCTGTGGGATTCAACATACACCTACGTTAGCAGTCATATTAGGACCATCTGACTATTGCTTGATTTTTATTTTCCTCCTGAGTCCTAGAGGCTATTTAGGACTTCTGTAATCCCCCCAGGGGAACTGACAATCCGATAAATGTTTGATGAATACATCCTGCTAATTTTCTTCCATGAGTGTTGGGAGCTGTGTGGCCTGATTTCGGATCAGTATATGAATGGGTCTCCGAGAGGTAGAACTCCTGGAGGTGATCTCTCCCTCAGCAAGAACCAATGGACCTCAGGACAGCGCAGAATCCTGCCGAGACCACGCAGTCTACACTCTCTCTTCTCTCACACAACATTGATGAGTCTCTTGACCGTTTTACTTTCACTTTATCAGTCACGGATGGGACAGATATGATCATTCCTGAAAAGCCAATTTTTTTTTCTCCAATATTTTCCCCTAAAATTCTTTGGGGACTGATGTCTATCAGATTTCTTATAGAGAAGCTTAGGTGTGCAGGACCCTTTTGTAGGGCACGGGAACAAGTTGGATAAATACAAGCTTAACTGTGTGCAAGCAGTTTGTGGTAAATCACCCCTGTAGCTAGAGTTTTCCTGCCTTGTCCATAGTCAGGACAAATCTTTGTCACCCGCCAGTCCCACAGCCGCTCAGACCCAACCAAGTAAACACAGAGACTTATATTACTTACAAACTGTATGGCCGTGGCAGGCTTCTTGCTAACTGTTCTTATAGCTTAAATTAATCCATTTCCATAAATCTATACCTTGCCACGTGGCTTGTGGCTTACCGGTGTCTTCACATGGAGCTTGTCATGGCGGCGGCTGGCAGTGTCTCTCTGCCTCAGCCTTCTGCTTCCCAGAATTCTCCTCTCTCCTTGTCCCACCTACTTCCTGCCTGGCCACTGGCCAATCAGTGTTTTATTTATTGACCAATCAGAGCAATTTAACATACAGACCATCCCACAGCACACCCCTATTTCTCTAAATACACTTTATTAAGTTTTGAACAATATTATTGCTCTTGAGAATTTGTGCCTGTGTTTATCATCCTTTAGCTTTGTAAGGCCAGGATGCACCTGGCTCGATATTTAGCCAACCTAAAAAAAATGTTGAGTGTTGCTTTTGATTTAAAAGTTGTTTTCATATAAATGTTGGGGGGGAGGAACATTTTTATTTCCTGGAGGCTAATTCTGGAGGGTGGGGAAAACATGCTGGGTTTTGAAGTATACATAAAGATGGCTTGAGCTATTCAGGGCTGGCCACTGTGTGAATCTCCTCTGGTGGTCAGACAATTCTGCCGATGCCCCCTCCCCATCTCAAGCCCTGAACTCGGGCTGTAGTGGCACGTTGGCACATAAGCCAGAACAAACCAATTTGGAATAACTCATAAGAACAGAACACAGACATAGAAAGCTGGGGTGTGTTATAGATAGATAAAATAGATAGATATGATTGGTGAAGATAATGATGAATACAATTTCCATATGGGAAGACCTTGGGTTCTGTTTGGCTATATATATTCATATACATAATATAATATAATATTATATTATACATAATGAATCATATTCAATAATACTCAAGGAACACTGAAGTAAGCCAATATGAACTTTTGTCTCATCTAATAAACTAGAGTTGAACATTATAAATCTCAGGGATTCCATCTTATATCCAAGATCTATCAAACTATACTTAAGAGTTTCCATCTCTTAGTGGGTCTTTCAAGATGGCTACAATAGCTCCAGGTGTGTGATGGGGAAGGAGAGTGAGAAAATGGCTTTTACAAGGTAAGTTTTGCCTTTTTATTCAAGAAAATAATATCTTTCTCAAAAAAAAAATTCACCTACCATGGTCAGAACTTTGGCATTTTTTACTTTCAAAGGAATTAGGAGGGAACATTTTCAAACAGGTATTTTACCATCTTGAAGAAAATGAAATACTTACATTAAGCAAGAAGGAAATTGGTATTGACAAGCAAATATTATTGTTTACCATTTCTGTATTTGCCAATTTCCTTATCAGATAACTTACATGTCTAATATTAATATCTTTGTCTTTGTACAGGAGCAACTATTTACATAATAAAACTGAATACTAAAGACTTTTAATAATTTGTTTAAGAAAAAGCAGTCTCATATGGTGATGTATACCTGTGATCTCAATACTTGAATGTAATTTCAATGATTGAAGCAAGATTACATATTTAGGTCATTCTGGTGTACATACTGAAACTATATAAGAGAGAGAAGGATGGTGGGAGGGGGAAGAGAGAAAGGAGGGAAAAAAAGAAAGAAAATGATGTTCATGATTTAAATCCAAGTCAGTTTGACTAATATCATTAATAATAATAATGATAAAACAACATATAATAACACATAGTCAACACTGGTCAAGTGCTTGCCTCATGTTAGATATTCCTCTTGGTACTTTTATATTCATTGATTCATTTCTGTTAGAAACTTTCTGAGGAAGGTATTTTCATATGACTCATTTAGCAGGCAAGAAGACAAAAGTTTAGATAAACAAAGAAACTCATTAAAGTCACATGAGTTACACAAGTGAAAGTCAAGCCTGAGCCTAGCTCTATGTGGCTCCTTAGCTCCGGACTACTCCCCAGCTTTTGCAAAAATCACCTGATCAAATTGTGTGCATTTTTGTCATCAATGAGCAAGCCAATGGCCAGGTACTTGTAAGGCATCTGTCTCTATCCATTATAACAAAATACCTGAGTAATTTGTAAATAATAGAAACTTACTTCTTACCATTTTGGAGACTGAGAGGTCCAAGCTCAAGGTACCCACAGATTATGTGTCTGGGGAAGATTTATTGTTTTCTTTCAAGATGGTGCCTCTGCTTGCCCTAGCTGGTAGAAGGGATGAAGGAAACAGCTATTTCATTTAAACTCTTAAAAGGGAGACTCCTCATAGCCTAATGACCTCCCAGATGCCATGCCAACACCATTGCCAATCAGTGCTGCAAATTAAAAAAAAAATAGTGAGAGGTAGGGCTGGGAATAGAAATTAAAGATGTATGAAATGGGGAGGTGACTAGTGTCCAGTCGGTGTTTCCACCTTGTATGAAATAAGCACTTGGCCCTTTTTTGTGACACCATGACCTCTTTCCTTCGATCACTGCATGTTCCTGGTTAAATCACCAGGATATACCTATTGGAGAAGAGGGGGATGATTACTGCCTATCTATTGACCATGCTTCCATAGCTTCTTATTAACAGGTCCCTCATTCTGCTAATAACCACACTGGGCTCATTCAAAACAACTTGCCTTCACCATCCTTTTTTGGATCTGTAGCATGGCTACATGCCCAAAAGCTGGCCGGTAGTATGTAACTGAACACAGAGTTCGGTTGGAGCTACCTGCAAAGCAATTGTTAGTTGCTCAAAAGAAGCAAGCTTGTGCTCTATCTGGCAGTGTGAATACTAAAATTTGAATAATACAGAGACTTCGTATGGCCCCTGTGTAAGTATGACGTGTAAATTTATGAAGTGTTCTATATTTTTGCGCAGTTCCTGGAAGCTGTTCAACACTTTTTCTGATTAATCCCAAAATACGAAATGCTCTATCCGAATGCAGCGCGTGGCAGCCAGGATTGAAGTGATGTTTTCACTACGGAAAATGGGGGCGGGAGGATGTCAAGCAGCTCAAGCACTTGCCTTTTTCATTCTCTCAGCTCAGCCTGGAATGGGATTGTGATACGCAGCTGGGCAGCAAGTGTCATGGACGAATAAAGGTTATGGTATCACACTTAGCATGAAACGGTAGAGAGGCAACCCCCCCCCCCCCCCCGAGTCCCGGTAGAATTGTGCAGCCTCCATACTGGCCTCAGCTGGTTCGTTTTTGCACTTACAATGAGTCATGAAAAATAAACCCCTATTTAGGTAAGCCACTATAGTTGCTCCCTTGCTGTTGCCTGGAGCTGGAAATTCCCAGTGATAGATGGCCGTGTCCCCTGCAATTACGTTAATTTGTCGAAGAGCCGTGTTCAGCATAGGGCACATCATTGTCATGCCCTAAGCTTCCACTGTACAGAGGATCAAGGTGATGTTTAGCTTGGAGATAATGGATTTGTGGCTCTGGTACCTCACTCTAAAGGGCTTCAGTTCTGTAAGGTGACTGCAAAACTAACCTTCGAGGCTGGGTGTTTGTCCCCCTACTCTGAACCTTAGCTTTAATGCAACTATAATATAAACTTTAAATTGAAATGCCCGATGCAATTGATACGTGTGGAAACATTTCTTTCAGGAAGCAGAGCAAATAATCTCACCCTTCCCAACTCACTTTTGTGTGTATCCCCAGGTTTCCTGTATACGATCTTTTGAACAATCCCCTTTCCCTGAATTTGGTCTAAATTTCATTTTATTCAGAATTTGTGTGGTTGAAGAAGCTTCCTGGGAGGGGTCATCCCAAATGACTCCCCTCCCAGACAGAAGGGAACTTACAAGAAGAGAACTCACAATCTCTCCTTCTCAGAACTCCCACTCCATCCATGGGCATCTCGTTAGCCTCGCAAAGTACATCTGCATTTTTTATTAGGATTTTCATTGAGAGCTAAGTCTTTTCATGGCATGCTCTTGGAATGAAGTCATAATCATCTCTACTACACTTTTATTATGTATATATATACATATATATACATTCTGCATACATATTTATATATAACATTAGGCTTGTTGCTATGGAAACGATTACAATACTAACAAATTAAGCATTGTGACTCCACTGTAGTAAGAAATAAGAAATTCAAATGAAACACCAAGCAGTTGTTTAAGCACCAAAAGCTTTAGTAATTAAATATATCAAGACAATACAGAAAACCACAAATTAATATCTAGGAGCCTTTTTCAGTATGAAAGTCAACTTTGATGCTGTTTTCCTTTTCCCACGGCATCAGCAATCTACATCTTTATAAATTAAGTCTGGCACTGGGTTAAGAAGACTATATCTGCTGCACTGTAAGTTCTCACACCTATGGCCTCGGCTCTCACCGTAGACAGTCCCACCTCCCACAGCCAGGGAGAAGGATTTCGTGATGCTTTATATTAATCAAAAGGAGGACTTTTGAAAAGGGGAAGCTCAAATGTGAAGTTGCCCTGACATCCCCTGTTTCATTCAGACAACATGTAGAAACTACCCCTGGGGTTTTGAATATATTAACATCCTTTCACAATTAACCCTAATGGGACCAAGGCAGCATTTCCCCCAGCCTCTAGATTCAAAGCTGCAAAACGCACAGTGCTTAAACAGATCTCATTATATATCCGCCATGCCGGATCTCTCCTCTTTACACACAGAGGACTGTACCTCTTCCACTGTCATGCAACATTAAAATAGGAGCACACACAAGGATGACATGGATTTGACAAAAAATTAATGATTTGTACATCACTTTAATGCTTCAAATCTGCAATTCATGTATGCTAATTAGTTCATAATGGGCTGTTGAAGAACAGAACTGTCACCCTGCTGTTTCGCAGGTTTCTGGGAGCTCCCATGCAGCACTGGCTTTCTGGGCTGGCTTCTGGGTCCTGGGCGGTAACACGGCAGATCTATGATAGCCTTTCCCCCGCACCCCCACACACAATTGTTTCCTGGATATGGTGCTTTAATCTATCAGAGTTACGACGGCATATCTCAAGTAAGTGGTTCCTGGGTGCCGCAATACATCCTGGGAGCCACAGCACAGCGTCACTATATCTCGATGATTGATTTCTAGATTTTAGGCTGTCAGGCTATACCTCAGAGGGTAGCTGTCAGCTTCGGAAATGTATGGAGTTGTATTATGCAGCACATTTTGAGAATGCATCTGCAACTTTTAAAAAATACTATTTACAGGTAAAAATGGCTGTAGCACTCGGAGAGGAGAAACAGGGTGATCACACAGATCAGCTCTTTTCTTACTGTACGATCATGTAGACCCCCCTACTTCAAGGGAATCAGCCACCACCCCGCTTGTCTGTTCTCAAAGCAGAGACAAAGGCTGTCATAGTCGCAGAGGAGTCTGCGAGGCTGAGCTGTTACACAGACTGTGGAGAATCCACCCGTGCTTGCTGGATTTAAAAGCATGCTGCCGTTTATATTGGGAAGCAAACTGATTTTTCCCTGATGCGGTGATGCAGGCTCGATTTGATGTGGTCTTCTTGCCACACCTGCTCATCTAGAAACCCCAGCTACTGCGCATGTGCAGAGAGGGGGACGCCACAAAGGAACAGGAATCAAATTCGGAAACAGCTTAAGGAAAATCAGTCAGGTTCTGATGACTGAAATTCTTGTGCTGAAGATTTTTACAGGGGAAAAAAATTATATTAACTAGAGATCATCAGAGAAAAACTGAGCCAAGCTGGGGGAAAGATACTCCAAATAGAGTTGAGCTGTTGAAAGAGATTTTGATATTGCCGGTAGTCATTTTACAGGCATGGGGAATACTGATGTGATCGAAGGAAGTCTGGAAGGGCTTTAATCAGTTAGAATTTTGTTGCAGTGTTTATTTAAGGTCTGTAACCAAGCCTGGAGGAAGATTTACTAATCATTATTGGTGTTTAACCAAAGTTGAGTGAGTGGAAGGTGCTTTTTAAAATAGTGTGCCTTTTCAAAGACAATGGTATTCCAACTTACAGTCTGTACATGGTTCTCCAGCTAGGACATGTACATTCAGTGTATCTATGACATTTTCTGATTCATATTTGGTTTTGCTTTTGTCTTGTTTCTATTTTATTTTCTAAAAACAACATCTGATATAGCCCAGGCTGGCTCAGAACTCCCTGTGTAGCTGAGGTTGGCCTTTGATCCTCCTGACTCTACCTCTCAGTTGCTGGGATTCTTACTAATACTTGAACCATATTTTCTTGTGAGGGAGCTCAAGTCACAACTCTGAAGCTCCATGCAATGGTTGGGTTAATCGAAGATGGAGATTAAGATTTGTGTTTTGGTCTGGGATATTGGGTCATTTGGTAGACTTAGATTCTGGAGAAACTGCCAGACTGTTTTCTAAGGAAATAGTAGCATTTAACATCCCGGCCAGCAATTTGTGAGAGGCTTGCCTCATCCACGTCCTCACCAATACTTGGTGAGCTCTGTCCTTCCACTTGAGTTGTTCTATTAATAATAGCTATTATTTATCTTGCCTTGCGGAGGTTTTAACCTGAATTTCCCTCATAACTACTCGTTTATTAACTCAGCGTTGGGCTCATGTACTTGCTCTCTGCTCTTCATGCTCATGCTGCTCATTTTGATATGTTGTTCTTTTTTGTTGTTTATTTCTGAGTTATTTATATGTTAAATATGTGGGGTTTTATCAGGTATGATTTGCAAATAGCTTCCCCGGATCTGAGGCTTTTCTTTCATTGACCTAGCACTTGCCTTAGGTAGGGTTTCTATTGCTGTGAAGAGACACCATAACCTCAGCAACTCTTATAAAAGAAAACATTTAATTGGGGTGGCTTGTTTAACAGTTCAGAGGTTCAGTCCATTGTCATCATGGTGAGACATGGTGATGTGCAGGCAGATATGATGTTGGAGAAGTAGCTGAGAGTCCTACACCTTGCAGGCAACAGGAAGTGGTCTGTCTCGCTGGATGTGCCTTGAACATAAATGAGACCTGAAAGTTCACCTCTATAGTAACTAACACACTTCTTCTAACAAGGCCACACCCACCCCAACAATGACCTGCCTCCTAACAGTGCCACTCCCTTTGGAAGCCATCTTCTTTCAAACCACCCCAGCATCTTTTTGGAGGCAAAGTTTCACTGTGTAGCTTCAGCTGTCCTGGAACTCACTATGTAGACCAAGCCAACCTTGAACTCACAGAAATCTGCCTGCCTCTGCCTTCTGAGTGCTGGGACTGGTGTACATCACCATCCCTGGCTAGTATTATTTTTTTGAAGGGAATAAAGTCTTAATTTAATTGTATTAAAATTGATTATGTGTATATTTACATTTATGTCCTTATAGCCAGTAGCTACAAGGTTCCAGGGCTCCTGTAAATAACAGAATCCAAAGGTTCTCAAGATCCTACATAAAATGGCATAGCATTAGTATATAACCTAGGCCTATCCTCTTCTATGAAGTACATTATCTCCAGGTCACTTACAGCCCCTAATACAATGCCAGTGGAATTCTTCTTGGTTGGTTGGTTGGTTTGGGATAGGCCTGCACTACCATGCTTGTTCAATTCTTTTAGTTTTACATTTTTGATTCCAGGTTGGTTGAATCTGAGGATGTGGTACTTATAGACTCAAACCACCTACTGTGTGTTTTCTGTTGTATTCCCTCATCATTCTCAGGTCATCTGCCAGATTTTTATTTGCTCCTCATTATCTCCATCCTGTGGTGGAGGCTGAGAAGCCCAGCCAGAAATGAAATCATCTGTGCAGACAAAGACTTTATATATACACACATCCTCACAGCTGCTGTGTTTTTGAATGGCCAAAACATGAAACCCACTCAAATGCTCACCCACAGGTGAGCAAATACATATATTGTTCTATATTTGCATGCAAATGTT